CAAACATGAGGATTTATATGTATGCGTTACCCTTCTTTGCTAATTAGAGATGTCTGTTTAATACCTCAGTTGATTTAGCAGCAGCCCAATACGCAAAATATTGCTGGCACCTGCATCTATGTTTGACAGATGAGGTCCCAGACACAGAAACATCTGCAATAGCTTGCTTAAGTTTGTGTTGACAACAAAGTTCCAAGAAAAATCTTGCATTTTCTTCTTCTTCACATTAAGAAGTTTGTGTTATAGTAAAGCTAAGTGTGTTTAAACAAAGTAAGATGGCCACCCTTGTACTGGAACGATGCATCTTGTTCCCATTGGTGTTTCTTGTAATGCAGATTGTGGAAAAAAGACAAAGACAAAATTCATGCCTAGGGAATGAATAAAACAAAAGCCAGGTGGGAAAACAAGAGCCATACAGGGACTTTTGGAGAGCTGCCCTGCACTGATTTTGCAGCTTAGAAACAGAATAAAGTTAAAGAACAAAGAGTCAAGTCCAAGTCCTTGCTTCTCTTTAATTCAAAAACCCTCGTTCCAAGACTCTAAAACCATTTTAAGTGTACATTTGAAAGATATTTTGTTGTCAATATATTAACTCATTCTACTTTTGGTAAGTCGAGGTTGCACAAGTTAATGAATATACCACACGTGGAGGTGTGCATAATCGCACCACACACCCATCCACTAATATCATCTCTGTGAAGTGTTTATGGCTGTAATTGCTGCTCTGATTATATACTGTGTGAACTTGAAGCATGCTATTATATTGGATGACTAATAGAATTTAGTAACAATGCAAAGAAATTGGTATTCTGGAAAGAGTTGTGTTTTAAATTGTTTTCTTTCCTGAGTTCGCAGAAGATTTCATGGCTCATCTACCTCGCAGTAGGTTTGTGGCTGATGGACTGACATCTTTCTGCTGAATATAAGCACCAGAGACCATCCAGTTTTCCCTGACTTCCAGCACTTATTTTCTCCACATGTGTTCAAAACAAGATCTAAATCAAACTTCCCCAAACCTTTGATTGCTGCTAATTCATCTTTGCCCATTGTTACAAAGGGAAAAGAAACATACTTTAGTACATTTATTGGTGGTCCAGGGAATGTAGATTGCAGTTTCAAAGGTATCATTGTTAGTAGGTTAGTAGTAGATTCTTCATAGAGGTCCATTGCTGCATTCTTTCTGTTCATACATAGGCAGATCACCATTTTTAGATGGCCTTCGAGGGTAAAGAAGACAAATTTCCCCCTTTCACTGTTTTAAAGACACCGCTAATGTTTTAGAATATGACGCCAAAGCTAAGTAGCACAGCATTTCAGCCAACATTAAACCATTTCAATGATTGCTTGAGTTTCTGAACACTTAAAGACATTTACTTGTATAGGGTGAAATTTAATACAAGGGAACTTTTCGAAATAGGAGTTAAAGGCACTTTTCTTTGGTTAAATCAAATTCAAGCCCAGATTATTTGCTGTTAACCACATTTTTCTATTCAGTGGGTATTTTTGACAGTTTCCTATAGAAAAGGAGTTAGAGATTCTTCATATAATTTATAACTATTATAAAGCATTTATTCTTCACGCTCACCCAAAAGCCTCATAGCAAAAGCCTGTGAGCATGTGTTTACCAGCTCTTCTCAGAGTGCTGGTCCTCTGATCTGAGTGGCATTAGCCCTAGCTGGAAGTTTATTAGGGATGAGATTCTCAGGCTTAATGTCTTTAAGCCTTCTAGGTAATTCTAATGTAGGCTGGGTTCTGAGAGTCACTGGTATGGGAGGTATTATCACCATTTAATAGATGATACAGTTTCTATTCAGTGAATTCTGTAAAGCTGGAAGGCAGTAACTCTTAAGTGGGCTAAAAAAGGGACCACTTCACTGCTTTGTAGTAGAATGGGTTGTTGAAACTATTAACACGGGAAAATTAACCTAGAAAAAGTTTTAATGACACAACTAATGTTTCTGTGTTCCTGTGCCTTCCGTTCTTCATTTTCTTCATCATGGAGGAGAGACAAAATGCAGCTCAGCCCCAGAGGGATGGCTTTTGCATGTAAATAGGGATGGGAGCTGTTATTTTAATCATCTGTTTCTAGCTGAAAGAGTTCATGAGCAGCACTTCCACCTGGGTCTTCCCATGCCACATTACCCACACCATGGCACCCTGGGTGCTTTTCCCGCACACACAATGTTACACACCAGTGAAAGACAATTCTTAGCCCTGTGGTGCCAGAATGAATCCCTGGGGTATCTGGTATTAACTATCACCCCATGAATTGGGGAATGAATGCTTCCTCTGGAGCGAGAAGGAGAAACCAATATTCATTATCTTCAATACAAAGTATATGTAATGATGCCTACTAAGTTCTTTGTGAACTCAATTTAGGCTTTGTGTGTATAATCAAACAAATAACATTTCAGTCTGTTCGTTCTACTGGGAAGAATACCTTTGAATAGAAAATTTTGCTATAAAATTAGGAAAACGTATTATGTGTGTACAGAATTTTTATTCTACGTCTATGTAAACAGTCATGCAACATATATGGACAGGCATATGTGTTCACTGTGCCTTTCCATAGCTGCTGGGTGACTGTTGTCTGTTCACAGTTCCTCCCTTTGTGCATTTTCCCTGCTTGTTCTTCCCTAGGAAACTGCCTTTGTTCCCCCTCCCCCGTCCCATGTAAATGATAAGGTTAGCAGACTCCTCATCCTGCAGCCTGGCCTTCTATACCCAGTATCTGCAGGTACTTTAAAGTGGCTCCTCTGAAAGGATGATTGGATTTTTTTGTGAGCTCCTCAAAATGGAAAATCTAATTTTGCATTTTATGGTTTATTACTCACTACTAACCTATAGGTTGCCAGCATTCAATAAATAGTGTACAAATGAATTAATGAATGACATTTGTACATGGATAAATTTCTCAAATCAACATCTCTAAACTATGACATCAGTTTGCCAGGGCTTTGTAGTCTCAGGGAGGAAGTCAGGACAGGCAGCCCTGTTGGTAAGCCCTCCCCTTCTTTCTGTCCCATTCCACATCTGAATTCAGCTCTTGTCTTTTTTATAAAATTTCATTTTGCCTAGTGTCTCCCAAACATCCACTCTAGTCCCATCTGTCTTTGAAGAAGATTTAACTTCTTCAAGGTTCCCTTCCTGCTTCTCCTCTTCAGCAAGACGGTGGCTGTCACTATGAGTTGAGGAAACATGGGCTAGGACCCCAACATCTTCAAGTCTGGTTTCCTGTGTTTCTCCAGGGACAGTTCTCTGATGCAAGCGTGAAATGTCATGTTGATAGCATCATTTCTGATGCTCGTCAGGTGCCTTCAATACTGTAGATGGGGTGAATTTAGGAGTGAATTCTGCAGTTCTGCCCTTCAAGGTCCTTTCACCTGGGTCCACCCATCACTCCATAGGATTTGGGAGGATTTCCAGAGGATCAATAACAGTATAGCATAGGTCAAGAGATCCTCTAAAATGGGGACAGGAAACTTCAAGATTGGAATTAGAATGAGAAGAGTCTGATTCCCTTTAATTTTCATTCTATCCCTTTGAGAGGTGGACAGAGCCAATAGAAGGACTCCATCTCCAATTTAACCCTTTGCATTGAATCCTTAGGAACCTAATCAGACCATTTTGTACCAGACATTTAGAATGGGAAGACACCTGTTAGAAAAATCTGTCTGGGAGTATCAGGAGCTGGCACTTGAAGACCTTGGACTGACTATGACAAATTACAGACCCTCCTATCTAGAGAGCCTATTGCCCCCTGAATCATGCATGATGCAGAGCCTCCTCTGGGAGAAGAGGGCTAGATGCCTACCTCGTACTGACTCTTGTACAGGAAACATTTTTGGACATTTGGAATCACTTTAAGACATTTCTGCTCATCTTACCACAGTGCTGTCTGCCTGGTGGCATCTATGTCACAAACCTCTTGCTCGTTGTCCATTGGGAGACTATCAAGGTTTCTAACCCTCCAGTGTCATCTTCCGTGACTTCTCTCCACATATTCTACACTCGATCCAAATGGAACGCTGACTGTCCCCCGCATGCATCTCTTATCACACTCCCACCATGCACCGTGCCTACAATTTTGCTATTCTTTGCTCCTGGATGCCTCTTGATCCTCTCACTCTTACCTCTCTCTCCCTGCAACATAATTTGTCTGGAAATATCTAAAAATCATGACTAAGGTTCAACCCAAACTTCTGGGCCATTCGTCTCTAAATTACTCCCATCCCTGCGCCATCCTTCTGGAATGAGCCTGCTTTCTCTCCTCTTTGCCAAGCTAAATGACTCCTCCCTGAGCCCCTAAGAGGAATAAGATCCCTTAAACTTTTAAATTGGCACTAACATACTCTTTCTTATCATGTGCATATATATTTTTTTATGTTCCTTTCCTCCACTTAATGGAACTCCAGGAAAGTACTCATGTATATGCCTTGTGTCCTAGAGTGATTTGCATATTGTGGTTGATTTGATGGTTGGTAATGAATAGGTAAAAGCATGGTGGTATGGGTTTTGGGGCAAAAGCCTGGTGGTGGAGAGGGGACAGATCCACATCTTTACTAGATGCAGAAGGTGTGAGTGAGCTGTTGAGAACACCTCCTCCCACTGGCCTCACTAATCTCTGTCCCCTTGATTTCCACTCATCATGAACCTGCTTTTATAACTCCAAGGTTAATTTTCAACTGTGGAACAAAGAATTTGATTCCTCTTCATTTGGGAGTGGCTTAGAGGCTAGACTTTAGGGACCCAAACGATGTACTTTATTTTTCAAATTGTTTTAGAAAGTGTATTGGAGTATGTATTAAACTGAGCAAGTTAGCCATTGATGATCTTTTTGTTTTTCTCTCAATTCAATGAAACAATATGAAGGAAAGAAGAGCCTAACTGCAGAAATATCCTGGAAAATCTGAAGATATTTTTTAAGTGATATCAATGACATGAAACATGGAAAAATGATCTGTGTGGTTCCATAACAGTTTCACATTTTTGCCTTTTAGGAGACGGAGCTGTTGGATCTCAGTCTTGTCAAGGATGCCAGGTGTGGGAAGCATGCCAAGGCCCCCAAGGTAGGAAGGGGATCTGTGCCACACCAGCTGCCGCTTTGACTCTTTGTCTGTGTCAGGATATCAAGTAATTGCCCCCATTAAAAGTTTCTGTGTTGTGGATGTTGTAGAACACAACAGCCACTATGCCCTATACATTTTCACTTTTATTAAAAGATGGAAACCATGAGTAAGCATATGGGACTAGCATATTGCTCTGGAGTTTTACTTTTGCTGAGGGGAAATTATATCAAAGAAGTTACAAATTAAGCATCCATAATTGGAAAATCCAAATACTGCAAAATCTGAATTTTTGAGTATACATATGATATATGAGTGGACTTCATGTGATGTGTCTCAGTCACTAAAAATATTTTGTAAAACTACTTTCAGCTATGTAAGAGGTGTGTATGAAACATAAATGGATTTGATGTTCAATCTTTGATCCTATTCCCAAGAAATCTAATTGCATATATGCAAATGTTTCAAAGTAAAAAAAAAAAATCTGAAATTCAAAACTCTTATCCCAGGTATTTTGAATAAAGTATACTCAACCTGTGTTGGTTAATTTGAAATGCCTAAGCTATATTTGAGATTATTTGGAAAATATTACTAAATCTCATAAGCACTTGTGAACATAATTTTATTTACTTGCATTTATCAGAACCCACGTTTACCCTAACGAATGAGGCTCCTATGAAACCCAAGTGCTTTGCAGTTAAAACAATGCCATGAAGCCAAAAGACACAGTCTTGATTCTGTACACTGTTAGAGAGACCAGTGTGCTTTAAGATTAGTTAAGTGGGGTGTCAGTGGTCTGGGTTTGAAAACCTTTCTAAAGAAACATGCAAAGAACTACTTACAGTATATTTTCTGAAGATTATATTAAAGTGTTAGGTGAAGAAAATGCATGCTTTTCACTTCTCTGGCTGGTAGGGTGTATTGATTTACCATCAAAGTTGAAAACTCTTTGTTATTAGATCTAAAATTCAGAGATTTAAACATTCATTTCTCACAGAGACAATTATTAGTAAAAGAAGAAGAGAGGCATTTACGTTTCATGCCCACCTCATCCACATAGCCTGAAAGTATGCCACTGGGAGTTTAACTCTGTTTCCTTTGACTGTCTTCCTACAACTTTTGATTTTATCCTCTAAAGGTCAAAGTAGTTTCTTTGACATCCAGAACGATCTGTTGCTTTGGAGATGTAGTGAAAAAAACAGCTGGGATGAGTTTTCCTCCCAGACATAATGGGGCAGTGGGTGGGCGCTGACAAAGTCTGGCGTGGAGCAAACACAGATGCTGTGCTGGGGTTTAGCTGAAAGAGTTAAAACAGCTGACAGCAGAATGTGAAACAAAAATGTTTAGGAGCAAAAATCAGAACTGTTTCATGTGACACAAGCCAACAATGCAGATTTATCTCCTGGTAGCAAGTAAGGAACTGCAGTACTCTTTCCATTTCAGATCAAGCATCTTGGAATTAATGCTTTGTTGATGATTCAAAATTATTCAGTTTGGTGTGGGAAAGAACCCTTGCTTTTCCTCTTCTCCAAACAAAATTTCAGCCAAGTTTTGTGGATAATGTGTTGACAAGATAGCAATGAAATTTGCTGTTTAACCTGGGTTTATTGCCCTCACTTGATATCAATACTGGCTGAGGACAGTTGCATATACCACACCAGATCCTACTGGTTCTCAGGCATCAGGAGTCACAGACTATCCTCTGCCTCCTGAAGAGCAGTAGGCTGGAGCTGGTCTCTTTCATTACAGCTCACAACCAGCTTGTCGGTGAGGGCCTTGCTTACGGATGTGGTTTGACAAATGTCTATTGAATATCGATAAATGACAGAAGTGGCATCTGTGCTGTGTTTAGCTGATAAACTATGATTAGATCCCAAAATGCCTCTCTCGAGGATGTACTTTTGAAACCTAGAATATCAGGCTTTGACTGTTTCTGCTAACACTTCTTTGGGGGACTGATGGCTTTCTCTGTGGGCTGTTGTTGATCTTACCATCTTCTTCTTCCTTTCTAGTCTCTCTGAGGCTCACTGCAGATTAACATCCAAAGTTTGGTTCCTTCCATTCAATTTCCCTGTATGACCTTGCTGAGCCTGACTTCTGCCTCAGGCTCAGTGGTGATGATAATAGGTGCTTAACAGGAATGCTGTAAGCAGGCGGTGAAATAATTCATTAGCAAACCATTTGCACAGGAGTTCTCAAATTTAACTGCTCATGAAGTCACCTGGGAAAGATGCTTTCGTCTAATTCTCACCCCAGAGTCTAGTGTCCTGGGAATCTAATGGCTGCAGATGATGCAGGGCAGCAGGGCACTGGAAGACAAATTTGCAGCAGAGTATGAGCATCATCACTACCTTAATGTATGTTGTTGATACTGCCATTCAAAACAAAAACAAAAACTGCAATCCTAACGACAGAACCAAGAACCTCATACATGCTACTACTCTGTCACCGAGTTGTCCCTCCGTACTCCTCACAACATTATTTTTTGGCATTATTTAAAATGTTCAAAACTGGGCTGGAGATATGGCTCAGCAGTTAAGAGCACTAACTGCTCTTACAGAGGACCCAGGTTCAATTCCCAGTACCCACATGGCAGCTACCAACCATCCTTAACTCCAGTTCCTGGGGAATTTGAAGCCCTCTTCTGACCTCCGCAGCAATGCATGACACAGGTGCACTCTCATACGTGAAGGCAATACACTCGTACACATAAAATAAAAATAATAAATAAAATATTAAATATATATATATATATAAAGTGTTCAAAACATTTCCAGAAGTCAGTCATTTCTTCATTGTTTTAAATTGGCAAAGTTTATGTTGTTAAGAGTGATCGGTGTGGGAGCCTGGTGGAAAAGGGCTTTGTGGACCCATAGACAGTAAAGAGGCCAAATGGATCAATGTGAAATCTTAAGGTAACAAATATGTATTTCCTCAACTCAACCTCAATAAATGCAAGCATCCCTTACTTAAAATTACCGGAATGTATCGCAAATTGCAGAGAGCAAGGTCTGGTTCAGATCAAGACTTATTCTGATGCTCTATTTTTAGTCTTGGGGACTTGAAACCTCTTTTCTTCCCCAGCCTAGCTTCCATTTCCCTTTCCATCCTCAGGTTCCACACAGTGACTATCGTCAGCAGCTCTTGGGCTCCTTTCCTGACAGCAAGTCTAGAGGGTGTGCAGGAGAGAGGAGCTGTCCACTAGAGCCTTTCTGGATGATTCCAGTAGGCTACTTTGCTAAAGAAGGCATGTGACCTTAGCAGAGAAACTTCATCAAAGACCATTAAGAATGTTGGACTGGGGGCTGGAGAGATGGCTCAGTGGTTAAGAACACTGACTGTTCTTGCAGAAGTCCCGGGTTCAAATCCCAGCACCCACATGGGAGCTAACAACTGTCTGTGACTCCAGTCCCAGGAGATCTGACAGCCTCTTCTGACCTCCACAGGCATTGCACGACAGGAATACACTTACCTACGTGCAGGCAATACACACATACACATAAGAATAATAAAATATTTTTTGAGAAAGAATGTTGGACTGAAAGTGACAGCAGTAGGTTCTCCTCCATGGTCTGTGAGCTCTCCAGCCATGGGCATTTGGCCAAGTTTACAGTGCCAGGCATGCATTCCCTCCTTTTGAGTGGGCCTCCCTATCCTTCTATCCACAGGGAAGTATAGATCTTACCAGCCATCAAAGAAACTTCTTTTTGCAACAGATGGAGACTACTACAAAGTTCCACAACTCGTCAAAATAGAGAGAATAAGTGACGATGGGGTGCCCAGCCCCAACTGATACACCAACAATATGACCCCTAAACCCCAGGCTGAGGGAACATTGTGGAAAAGGAGGAAGAAAGACTGTAAGAGCCAAAGGTCTAAGATACTTGCTGCTAAATAGTGTCTTCGAGACATCACAAGAAAGCTGCGACCATGAAGTCTCAACAGCTATGGCTACTTTAACAAGACATACATAGTGACAACGCCAGTTGACCAGCCAGTGTAGACAAGGCAGATTTCATAAGGTCCCACGTCCAGATGAAGCACTCCAGGCAATCATGGCTGTGAGGTAGGGAAAGTCAGTTTTCTCTGGGGAACAGCTCCCTAATAGGTTATCCAATCCCAAGTAGACAGTCCTAAACACATGTACATACCAGTACAACTGAATGGACTCAGTACTATATACACATATATGTGTGTGTGTATGTATTTGTGCATATATATTTAAAATATATTTGACTACAATAATCAAAGAAATCATCAAAAAATTGAGAGGGGTTGGAGGGATATGGGAAGACTTGGAGTGGGGAGAGGAAGTGGTGGAAATCATGTAAAAAACAATGTATGAAATTCTCAAAAAATGAAAATTCTGAGATGAACGTTGCAGAACTTAAAAATTGAAAATTTAAAATGTAGAGGAGCACTGGGCGTGGTGCTGCAAGCCTGTAACCCTAGTCCTTGGGAAGCTGAGGCAGACAGGATTGCAAGTTTAAGATCAGACTGGGCTGTGTAAGCAAGACCCTGTTGAGAGGGAGGGATAAGACCTGCACAAGAGCAAGCCAACAAAACCAGTCAGCATTTCAACAGGCAGCACTACCTGGACTCAGTGTGCTATAGGGAGGGAGGAGGAGGAGGAGGAGGGGAGGGAGGGAGGAGGAAGGAAGGAAGGAAGGAAGGAAGGAAGGAAGGAAGGAAGGAAGGAAGGAAGGAAGGAAGGAAGGAAGGGAGAGAGATGAAGAAAGAAAAATAACTACAGGGAAAAAGAGAAGAAAAAGAGGAACAAAGATGACAAACGTCCCATCTCAGGACAGTTGGACAAACAGGAGAACGGATTCTGTGGAAGAGTTTCTGCAGGAGCTTCTAGACCCAAAGCAAAGAAAAACATTTGTGGAGTAAATATTTACCAAAATACTGAGGCACCCTGCAAATATTTATCTGTGTATTCATATTATTTTTGTTTTTCACAACATCTTGTTACATAAAAATTCAACATCTAGTTGAAAATG